CCAAATTCGAACATTTTGATCCCAGGAGCAGGAGGCAATAGCCATACCATTTCCAGTAACGCTAAGCGATGTTACACGATTTTCGTGGCCCGTCAAAACACCTTTGAATGAAAGGTAAAATCAGTCTAATTTTAAAAAACTTAATTCTAATATCTATTTTATCAATTGAATATTTACCATTATGTTGATTCTTTAGTGTATCCCATATATGAATAGAATTATCATCACTTCCACAAAATATGAATCTTCCGCTTAAAGATAAACCACAAGATGTATATCCGGGATTTGAATTTGAAGGTTTAAAGGTAGCTAATTGTTGATCCGATCTTAGATCCCACAATCTCGCTGTTTTATCTTCCGAAGCTGTTACAAAAGCTTGTCCCGAAGGATGATACTAAATAGAACATAATTTTTTGCAAATAAGGTAAGTAAAGTTATCAAAATTATATTATAATTAACAGTAATTAAATTTAAAATTGTATTTATATTTATCAAATAGTATAGATATAGATATTCAATATCAATATCAATAATAAAATAAATAAAATAATAAAATTTTCTATACTAACACAAACAGAGTTTACATCAGCTTCATGTCCAAAGAAAGTTTGTTTTGCTTTCTCTTCTCTTAAATCCCATAATTTACATGTTCGATCTACCGATCCAGTAACATATGTGTTTCCATCTGGAGATAAACTAATACTAACCACATCTCCAGCATGCGCGCAAAAATCTATAGTTTTTTTGTTTGCTTCCAAATCCCATATACATCTATAAAGAAATTTTTAAATTAGTAAAAAATAAATATTGATAAAAAATTATTATATCTAATTTTTTAGATATGGATACATTTTCATATCACCGGATCCAGTGATTATTTTTTTATCTTCCAAAAATCTGCAGGATGAGAGAAAACCTTCGTATCCTAATAATTCTCGAACGATCTTAGCTGATCCTGTGGCATCACGATTGTTCACATCATAGATAGTACACATATTGTCCATACCACCACAAGCAACGAAATTTCCCGAGGGTGCAAAAGCTACTGACATTACCCATGCTGAGCGCAATGGGATTACTTGGACTTTGTTTCCAGTCCATGAATCCCAAATAATCAATTTTCCGTCCAGTGAACCAGTCACGCAATGTCTAAAAAGAGATACTTATTTAGATCATTCAAGATTGGAGTGTTGCGGTTGATTTCTTGGGATAAAGATCAAAAGATCGATATTCAATACTGACCTACTATCACCACTATAATGTACCGAATTTACTTTATTGATATGTCCCTTTAATAATTTTTTAGTAGATAATTTAACTTTTGGAGCATCTGCTACACTACTACATGTTTCCTCCAAAGTTGTATCTTGTTGTTTCTTTTGATCTTCCTGATATGCAATAGAACAAGTTTTCAATTGATATCAAGGTATGATATTAAAATTTTTTCTATTTTAATTAAAAAATATTTTTCTAATACAACCTTGCATCTATTGATCAAATCTTCTAGCTCTTTTTTTAAAGCTATGGTTTCTGCATCATCCTTCCCCATTTTCTATTTAAATCTTACTTTATTTGGAAACTTATCAAGGAACTGAGATTGAAACACCAACTATGATAGACGTAGGAATACTGCGAATAAATTTTTATCAAAATGTAAAAGAAGCCTCAGCATCGTCTACATTACTACCCCAGTAATCATATTAAATTGACGCTTAATCCTATTTGTTCGGATCTCTGATCTAACTTAATTATCTACATATACAATAACCCTTATTATTTTTCATACGTAACTTTTTTTATAATATGATCATTATATTATATTTTTAAAATTCTTTATTTATTTTTGTTATACAAAATATGTTTTACAGTTATAGGAAATGGAAAGAAGAAAAAAGTACGCGGTTACGGTATATAAGTTCTTATAAAAAGTGTAATCCGTCGCGCTTTCGAATTCCATTTCTCCTATAAATGATTCGATTTGTTTAAATCGATTTAGTTCTATTGAATTATTGATCAGAATTAAATCTATATATTATAATCAATTTATATTTATATTGTTAGGAAAATAAATTTTGATAAAATACAATGTATCATAAAAAAATATTTATTTAATAATTCTTTTAATTTTTTAATACATACAAAAAATTTAAACAAAATTAATTTTTGTTTAATACAAAATTAAATTTAATATAAAAAAATTTACATTTTATCGATTGTAAACTTATGTATCAGAATCATGATATATAAAAAAAGAAATATTATATTATTTAATGTATTAATATTAAATTATATAAGTGTTAATATATTAGCCAAAGAATTTTATTTCAGTTCATTTCGAGATGGTAATGAAAGTGAAACATGTAATGAAGATATAACGAATATATTTAGACAAATTATTATTAAACGTTATAAAACGAAAGATTTTTGTGATAGCAATATAAAGGGTAAGTAATATTACAATACTATAAAATAATTGTAAAATAATATACTACAAAATAATTGTAAAATTATTCATAATATATTTCTTTTATGTTTTATTTGTTTAAGTTTAAAAAGTTAAAAAAGAAATTATTTTTGATATATTCAAAGAATTTATAAAGGATTACCAACTTTAAAATTTAGAATTTTATTAAGTTGGTACATTGTAAAGTGACATCTTCAAAATATTATCGACAGTGCACATTTATTTAGTCGATAATTATTTTGTATATACTACATACATGAAGTATTTATAGTGTTTCGTAATTAATAACATATAAAGATATAAAATATTGTTATCTTTTGTCTAATATTTCAAATATTTTAAAGGTACAATAAAATCAATTTTTTATTCTAAATCTATAATAAAATGGGAATGACACAACATATACTAAAATTCGATACAATGATTTTTATCATTTTCAACTTTATTAAATTAATTAAAACACAGAGTAGTTATTCATATTTAAATTATTATTGGTTTATTATTAATCGAAAATACCCACAAAAATCATTTTATGTTTACTCAAAATGAAAGACAGTAAATGAAAGACAAGTGCCGAACGTAGTTGTCAAAGGTAGTAACTTTCGTTCAAAAAGTGTGGGAGTAGTTACGAACTTGCTTTCTGTCCTTCGGAAGTAGCTTAGTCAGAACAGTGCATTTGATACGTTCTTCTGTGCGTTCGCGGTACTTTTCAGTCTAAAATGCGTGCAAAGAATGTTGGATGCTATCTTTTTTGGAATCTGTTTCTAGCCTACCACGTGGTTAGCGAGATTCCGCCATCAATAGACAAAGACGGTAATAGTTCATTGTAGCTCTCTTAACTTTACGATTAAAAAAGAAATATTTATTTGTTTTATAATTGAGTTAATGTTTATGAAAAATTCATTCAAATTAATTTTTAATAGATAATAGAGAAGATAAATTAAAACAATTATTAATGTTTATTTTATTATTCTTAATTATTAACTTTTATTATATTGTATGATCAATCAGTTCGATAAATAGAAAATATAAACAGGAAAGCAAAAATTTTTTTTAGTCTATTTTATTATTTTTATTTTTATTTTTTTTTAAATTATACATTTTCGGTATTAATTTTATATAAAAAAAATCATTTAAATTATACAAAATTAATCATTATATGTTTTAAAAGAAAATATTTTTAAAATTTTATAATACTTAAAATAGTAAAATAATTAATCCATTTTTCTAAATACTGTTTTATTTTATTTAACACAAAAATTTTTGAAAAATTATGTTCGTGGTACTAATGTTAAGTTTTACAAAGATGAAATCTTGTAATAATCTTATTTATTGCTTCTTTTATAATCTTTTAAAAGGGAAAGTTTTTGGTACATTGACCCTAAAAACCGTATAAGATCTTATAACTTGAGTTTTTAATCGATTATTTTAAAATAATTTATTTTTTACATTAGTGAAATCTAGATTTTATTTATTTTATTTATCAAGTGATTGTGAACTAAAGACAATTTAACTTTTTTTATTTATTTATGTACGAGATTGCAATATTTCTATCTGTGACGTAAGTTTACTTTAAAAAAGAAAATTATTTATTATTTATACTTTCTTGCCGATATATTATTAGATTTATTGAAAATTAATATACATTATAAAAAGAATAAAAAAATTATTAAAGAATAAGTTATTTATAGAATATATAAACATATTATAAAAGTACTAATAAATATTTATTAATATTAAGAAATAACGAAAACCAATCTATAATATAAATTTTTTAAGGAATTAAGTACATAATTAATACATATTTACTTATAAATATGTATATTTTAATATATAATTAGAAAAATATATAATTGAAACATTAAAGAAAGAACACAAATCATATCAAGATACATGTATAGAGTAATATGCATCCTTGAATCTTTATGGAGCAACTTGACACTTCTTCACAATGATATAACTGTAGCAAAAAAATATTTTAGTATTTTTCAAATAATATTTTAAAAATTAATTGCATATATATGTTTAAAATAATTAATTATAAAAATTAATTATTATAAAAAAATATATTTTAATTATATTTACAGCATTGAATAAATAAAAGAAACGTTTTTTTTTTAAAGTAATTAGATCATACACGATATTGTTATCTTCCATTTCCGGTTACATGGGCATTGTGAATATCTTTTTTTCTGAATCTTTTCTCGTTATGACATTTTTTTCTTTTCATGTATTTTTTTTAACTATTTTTTTAAATTAACTTATTAAAAAAAATAAAATTAATTAATATTATCAACAAAATTTTATTTGAGAAATCTCTTCAACAATTTTACAAATAAAAAAAATATTACGCATTTATTTTTGCTTATCAATAGTTTAATTATAATTAAATAAACAAATAAAAATTAAGTAAATTTTTTTTTTTATAGAAATAAAATTAATTTTTTCAATTTTTTATTTTTAACTAGAAGTGTTAGATTTTACAATTTGTAATCTTTTTAATAATTGAAGAAATTCATTTTATCAATAGTTTTCTTGAGAGATGACGTGACTTTTAACACGACGCAAGCTATATTATATTCGAATCATGATGTCACGTAGAAAATGTAGCGCTTATGAGAATCGTTTAGTTACTACTCGTTCAATGAACTGAGTTCATATGTTGATATTATTTCTCCAGAAATAGATAAACTCTTTGACTTCTAAGAGAGTCAAGAATGCTATAAAAAGAAGAAACGAGAAAATACAATTTTTCTTAATTTTACAAAATTTATTTAAGTAAAACATTTATTATTGAACTTTAAAAATTTATTTATTATTTTTCATCATTTTATTTATTATTTTATTGATCAATTGTTGTAACATAGAATTATTATATGTTTAAATATCTTACATTTTTTAAAATTATATGTCGTGAAAATCTCTGTTCAATCTCGTTTTTGCGAAGAAATGATCGATTTGAATTATTTATATTTACGAATTATTATTGTGTATTTAAATTTAAATTTCCTGAAATTATGAAATAATTGTTCATTATTGTTCATATCAATTTTTTTTTCATTTATTTTAGAATATTATAAATATCATTTAAATTGCAGATGTGCTCGTATTCACTGTCGCTACGAAAGAAACCGATGGCTATAAAAGATATCTTAGATCAATCGATGTTTATGGATTTCGCGATAACTTAAGAGTTCTTGGTATGGGAACACCTTGGCTAGGCGGTGATCATGTAAAAACCAGTGTAGGAGGAGGATACAAAGTTAATCTTTTAAAGAAGGCTCTTGAAGAATATCAAAATGATGATGATAGGATAATTATATTTACAGACAGGTTTTTAGCACATTGGTTTTTAATCTGTTTCATTTTTAATTCATATTTTAATAATAATCTTTATGTTTCAGTTATGATGTAATATTTTTAAGTGACTTAACCGAAATCATCGATAAATTCAAGAACATGAATGCTAGAATTTTATTTTCTGCAGAAGGAGCTTGTTGGCCGGATAGATCATTAGCTTCTAAATATCCTTCTGTAATACGAGGAAAACGTTTTTTAAATTCTGGAGGCTTTATAGGATACGCTTCAGATATTTATGCGATTTTAACATATGCACCGATAAAAAACAAAGATGATGATCAATTATTTTATACTCTGGCATATCTTGACGAAAAATTAAGGGAACATCATAAAATTAAATTGGATCATAAATCTGTAATATTTCAAAATCTTTATCTTGCCGTAGGTAAGTAAATAAAGAAAATAGAATAAAGATAATGAAGTTTATAAATTTATTTTTGCACAGGTGATGTAAAATTAAAATTTGAGAATGGAAAGGCTTCCCTTTTGAACACGGTTTATAACACAGAACCATTAATACTTCATGGAAATGGTTATAGCAAAGAATCATTAAATTCTTTGGGAAATTATTTGGCTCATGCATGGAGCCCTGAAGAAGGATGTATAATGTGCTGGGAAGGAACAATAGAATTAAATAAAACGATACCAGAATCATATCCGATTATATTAATCGCTATATTTATCGAACGACCGACTCCTTTCTTAAACGAATTTTTAGCTACAATATATCAGCAAGATTATCCAAAATCGAAACTACATTTATTCGTTCATAACAATGTGGAATATCACCAAGATGTAATCAATAGTTTTATGAAAAATGTTGGATATGAATATAATACTAGTAAACTAGTTTCTGTGAACGATGCTATGAATGAAGTTGATGCAAGAAACTTGGCCATGTATGTATTAAAAATGTATTTAAGTAAATTATTTTATGTTAAACTTATTTTAAAAATAAATATTATTTTTTAGGGATTATTGCTTATTAAAAGAATGTTCTGGATATTTCTCTATTGATTCTATTTCTCATTTAGATAACAAATATACTTTGAAACTTCTAGTAGAACAGCAACGAGAAATAATTGCACCATTATTGGTTAGACCATATAAAATGTGGAGTAATTTTTGGGGTGCTATAATGGACGATGGATTCTATGCTCGAAGTTTCGATTATATGGATATCGTGAAAAATGAACGCAGGTAAATATTAAAAATATTATAATCTTTTCCTTTAATGCAATAAATTATATTTATTATTTAACTCAAAATGTATATACATATACATTTCGAGAATTAGAAACTAGGAACTATATTTTGAAAATTATTTTTTGTTTTTTTATGACTAATTATTTTAGATAGTATCTTAAAGATAATAATTTTAGATTTTATCTAATTATATTAAACTACTTTAAAAAATTTAAATTTAATCAAAAGCAATAGAAAAGTCAGTCTTGAAGGATCTTCGATCGATACTATACATATTATCAGCTGTACATTCGTAAACTCCAGCATCCATTTGAGTTGCAGGATCTATTTCCAATTTTGATTTTACTTTATCTTCTCCAACTTGCCATTCATGCACCTTTATATCATAAATTTTTGCCGTTATATAGTTTCATATTAAATTATCGTAATTAATATTATCTATACCAACATGCAAATAAAGATGAGTGTAAATCTCAGCACCATCCTTGAACCATGTGATATGTGGTCGTGGGTTTCCACGTGCGACGCAAAGAAAAACAATTTTGTGTCCTAAAACGTACTCCAAATCAAAGTGTGATGCCAACAATATTTTTGCACCCTAATTAAATATTTTTGAAAAACAATGAAGTAATTAAAGTATGACTATATTTTATTTATAAATTTATAAATACATACATTATGATTGTTATAATATTGATCACTTTCTGGATCACGATATTTTCCAGTGATAGGTAATCCTATTTGGACACGCGATCTGGTTTTTCCTCTGGCTCGTCCTCTTCGTCCAAGAATTTCCTGACTATTTAGCAGTAGTACGATTAACAAAAATAACATCACTGTAGAACGTGGCATGATAGTTTGAGAAAAATAACCAAAAATGGATAACCAAATCTATGTTTAAATTGGAGAAAATAGAAAAGTTTATATTATAATATGTCGCAGATATTCACCGAGTACAGATAACGTATGATACAGAACTCCGATGTAACTAACAGTCACCTACTCATTGCTCCCCTAGTGTTCTCTCCTATCTATTACAGATGTATAGGCAGATCCTGCTAAACTACATGTATTATATATATATATATATATACTGGTCATTTCTTGAACATCTATTGCAACTCGGTCATCACTAAATTCTAAATCGATTGATAAATTTTACATGATATTGGCTAACAAACATGATTCATATAAAAAAAAAAAAATGAAAAATATAAGAAAGTTATTGCAATAACTTTATATCATATTTAATTCATGAATGGAATGATAATTTATTATATAAATTTGTAATGCTGTTTTCAATATACTTTATATTTAGTACTATAGATATACTTACCACCCTTATAAGAGTCAATTGTGATTTAATGAATAAGAGCTGGGGGAACTTTAAATTTCCAAATGTGCTTTAATGCGTTGAAATACTTAACAATTGATAGCATTAATGCATTAAAGAAAATAACGAAATATATCGTATCTTTTCTTTTATTATTTTTTTTTTTAAATAAAACTTGTTTTTGATATTATAAAAATTTTTAATCTAATACTACAAAAATACTATATGAGTGAGAGAAAGAAAATATTTAAAAAAATTTTTTAAAAACAAATTTAGTATCTATAATTAAATCTTGTGCTATTAAGTTAATAAATTATATTGTTTGACATAAGTGTTGCAATTATAAAAAAAGTACTTTTTTTTTTTTAATAAGAAATCATAACATAATCCGTTCTAAAGCCACGACGATCAACCGCATACTGATTATCCGCTTGACATTCGTAATACCCTGCATCTTTTTGCGTAGCAGGATCAATTTCCATCTTTGATTTTAATGTGTCATTACCAACAGGCCATTCATGCACCTATAAAGTATACATATTGCAATTTTCTAAATTTCACTTATATAAAAATTTCTATTTTTAATAGTAAAAGTACCTGGAAAAATTTATGATGATACAATTCAATTCCATCTTTCAACCAGGTGATCTCAGGTCTTGGAAATCCAGTGGCCATGCAGAAAAATGTGATCTTCCTCCCTAACATGTAATCCAGTTCAAAGTGTGAAGCTTTCACTATTCTCGCCCCCTAAAATTAAGTAACTTGTAGTATTCATATCGCTATGATTGATAAATATCTTTTTACATCTTTATTTTCGTAGTAATTAGCACTGGCAGGATTTCTGTGAGGAATCAGAATAGGCATTCGAGACTTGTAAACTCTTCCGCCACTGCGTCTGCCACCTCCTCTACCTCCACCACCTTTTGCTGCGTCTGTGCTTACTAACAATGTGATAAAAAAGAATAGGCACAAAAATTGATATCTCTTCATTTGTTCTACGATTACAAAGATGCTCAATCTGTTTGAAAAAATTTTTCTAAACAGTGTACATACACTTTACATAGGAGGTATGGAGATACACTTAAGTGTATCTTAATTTTTAAGCAACTCTAACTTGGAATTATAACACTTGTTTTAATATTAACTTTTGCAAAGCATCATATACATTTGTAGTTATGAGATAGAAATAGTTGCTTTGCTATAACAATTGAACTTCACTATAAAGTAATTGTTGGTGATAAAAGAAACACAATGTTCAAGTGCTTACCGACTACTCGGAAACTCTACTTTTGACAAGTGGTTAAGCCGAATGTTTGGGCTTCGCCTGTCCCTACAACCTAAAATATGAATGAACTATGCCCGATGGGCATGTCGTCATTGGTGACAGAGTTATGAATCTCAATTGGATAATTATGCATAACCCATTGCCAGTGTATTCATTGGCCAATCACGACATCACAATGATTACCTTACAAAATATTGTCTCGCGGGAATAACAAACAAATGTATGATCCCTCCTATGACTTTGCGTTTGCTTCATTGGCCTTGAGATCCTGAGAATAGTAAAGTGATCAGATACCCATGTGCTTATTATTTGTTAAATCAATTATTATTTGTATTAGTTTATTTGAAATCAATAATTCATCATCAATAATTATCTATTTTAAATTAAATTAAATTAAAAAACCTAATAATAAAATGATGTTGATTATGATATTTCAGGGGATTGTGGAATGTACCATTTATTAGTAATTGTTACTTAATTAATTCAACGCTAATAAGCAACAAAGAAACTCGTCCATCTTATTCAGAAGGCGATTTGGATACGGATATGGCTTTTGCTTATGTTAACAGAGAACGATCCATTTTTATGTATGTCAATAATAGACTTGATTTTGGACATTTGGTTAATCCAGACAGTTACGACATCACAGTGACCCATCCAGATTTATATCAAATTATTGACAATAAATTAGATTGGGAAAGAAGATACATCCATGAAAATTATTCGGAAAATTTTAACTCGAATCAAACTCCATTACAAGTAAAGGCATTAATTTTACATAAATTTTGAATATTTAATAACTTTATGAGTTATGTTATTATTTAATTCGATTGAATTTTCATTATAGCCTTGTCCAGACGTGTATTGGTTTCCCATAGTAAACGAAAGGTTTACAAAAGAATTAATAGATGTTATGGAAAATTTCGGAAAATGGTCAGATGGATCAAATCATGTATGATAATTTATGAATCCTTATAATCTTATACTATTATTCATATTATACAATTATGATATATTTCATATTATATATAATAGAATAATTACATTTTTCAGATATTATTTATAATTCACACGGTAAATATTTATTTTATTGCTAGTCAATAATAAAGAAATTTTTTTAATAGGATCCGAGATTAACGGGTGGTTATGAAAATGTACCAACCCGTGATATTCATATGAATCAAGTAAAAAATGAACCACAATGGCTATATTTTTTAAAGGAATACGTTAGACCTCTTCAGGAACTCGTGTTCACTGGATATTATCATGATGTAAGATATTTATCTTTTAATGGATTTCAATTATTTCTAGGACCCACGTATCGAAGGTGGATACGAAGCTGTACCGACAAGAGATATTCATATGAAACAAGTCGGTCTTCATGAATCTTGGTTAAATTTTCTTGACCAATATGTCAACCCTTTGCAAGAGCACGTGTTTATAGGCTACAGTACTAGTGTAAGAATTATAAAAACAGGATTATGAATAAATGGGAATAGATTATTAGTTTCACGATCTTGATTCATAAATAATTGCACCGTTGCACAAATTTCAGATTACAAAACACTGTTCTACAAATTGATTGCACCATTTCCTGGTGATAGGCTTCGTATTTGGGTCCATCGCAGATTTTTATAAAATTATATTAGATTGCTATATATATGTCAAATTTATATAAATATTAAACATTAGTTAAAACAGTTACAGAATATATTTTATACAATTAAATATTAAAAATTGAAAAAAATTAGTCTGCACTGTTTTGATTAATGTATTAGTGAAAAATGAATATTATTTTATATATATATATATAGATAATTTAAATTTCCAGCCACCTCGTGCTCTCATGAATTTCGTTGTAAGATATCGACCAGATGAGCAACCGTCATTGAAGCCACATCATGATAGTTCAACTTATACTATCAATATTGCTCTAAATAGAGTGGGAGTAGATTATGAAGGTGGAGGTTGTCGATTTATCCGTTATAACTGTTCCGTTACGGATACAAAACCAGGCTGGATGTTGATGCATCCTGGACGACTGACTCATTATCACGAAGGTCTTCGAGTTACCAGTGGTACTCGATATATTATGATTTCATTCGTTGATCCTTAATCAGTATGTTGAATTATAGGGCATTCTTATAGATAATAAAAAATGAAAGAAAATACTGTATAAAAATATTCAATTGTTCTCATATATATAAAATCTATGAGAAATTATATTAATTGAAAATTAGGATTGGGCATTTTTTATTTAAAATAAAAAAGAACAAATAATTATAATTTAAATAAAATAAAAAATATAATGAAAAAATATAAAAAAAAAATGAATTTTAAATAAAAATGTTTGCAAATAAATTGTAAAATCTTATTTGAAAAATAAATTATTTTTAAATGATTTGTTATTTTAAATAATAATAGAAAAAAATATGAATAGAATTTAGATAAAAAGAAAATGACTTTGGGAAATAGAAATTCCACATAAAAAAAGCATCCATAGCAAAAAAACATTTTTATATTTTCATCATAAAATCAAATAACAAATATCTATCAGATATCAAATAAAATAACAAATAAAGAAATAATTTAATTTTAAAATACATTATTATTAAAATAATATTATTTAAAATAAAGTTAAAATAAGGTATAACAAATAAAAAATAAAATAAAAATTTACTTTGATAAAGCCCAATCCTGGTGAAAACTTAAACTGCCGATGTGAACGAAATATGTATTTCGAAAAAATAAGATTCTCATATCGATGTTATTTTTTTAATATAGAAAAAATATAAGTGTGAAACAGTTAGTAATCGTAAGTGTTTGTATAGAAATAAAATGTTAACTTGCATTTGTATTTATCATTTTGAAAAATACCATATAAGAATCACTAGTAAATCAGGTCATACTGTTACGTCCCTTTTTATTTTATTATTATTAAAAACTTGTTTTTTATGTTATTTACAACTTACGATTTCTACACAAATATATTTACATTTTAATTTATATCATTCAACGCAAAGCTTTGTTTCTTTTTTACCAGAATTTAGCTGTGCTTTTAGATAATAATTATGAACATTTCCTAAAAAATTACACACGCCACACTGTTTAAAAAAAAACATTTTCTCATTTCAGACTTCGCGTATCTATACAATTATTAATTATTAATATATTACAATTAGGAACATTCGTAGGATAAGTAATCAGATTAACATCACTAAATAGCAAACTTTGAAAAATTGATTTAATCATATTCTCGCATATTTATTTACATAGTAAAAAAAAGTTCCTTGTCAGAGTGATATTAATTGCAATTGTAATATATCACAACGCAATAATATACTTAAATTCATTTAAAAAACACTTTCTGTATGAAAAAATAAGTACATTTTAAATTAATTCAAATTATATATAGTTGTTTATCGGCTTGAACCAGCGCCTTTGGTTTTTAATATTTTTTTTACATATATTTAATTAATTTCTTGCCATAGATAATTTCAATTAATTCGCACATATTATATAACTTAAATTTTTCATCCAGAATGCCACATAATCTAATTAATTTTAATATAACAAGCAATGACGTAACTTTGCAACGTAATAATACGTTATAAAAATGTTCTCTGCCAGCGAGTATTTTTACCGCATAGATACTTGATAAACACGAATGCTATTCAAATTCACAGTTTAATTGAACTAGGCATTATTTACAGTTTGTTCAATTCATAGAAAAAGATAAGATTATACATGATTTTAATAACCCGCTCGTTTCAATTCATTTAATTGATGTGCTAATTTTTCCTCTTTAGTTCTTCTTGCTTGACCCAACTTCCTACATTCGATATAAGTGCTGAGAAAACGTTCAACATCTATTTTTCTATTTAAGAAATTCTCAGCAATTCGTTCACTTTCCTCATGACTTTCATCTGCTGCTTTCCTCAAACATTCTTTTATATGATCCGGAATAAATGCTTCAGATAATTTGTTATATCGTTGTATTAGTTGATCGTATCTAGTTTTTAGTGCAGTAACGATCTGAATTTTATTTGCTACGTCAGACTGCAATTCTTTAAGCTCGGGTTCTTTGGCTATATTAGCCTCTGAAAAATAGAGGGAAAAAATAAATTTTCGAAAAAACGAAATATTGTAACACTTTATCGGAAGTTATCTTACCGGCAGTTTTTTGGACCCAATCTATTGCATCATCGATAGCAGTGTTAATGTCTTTTAAATCGGAATGTTTATCCAGGAATTCATCTAATTTATCATTATCTTCATTCAATTGTCTCAATTCCTCGTTAGTCAAATTATTTAATTCTGGAAACACTACACTCTGTCGTAGCTTAGTTTGTGTTTGATTCGGTAATGATTGTTGATGATAATTCGCGTTCACGTAATGCGAATTCAAATATGTTCCAGGTTGATTTGAATTGTAACCTGATGCATCTGTACCACTTCTCGAACACGCAATATATGCTGAATGTTGCGATGGAGAACCGAATTTTGTATGACTGTCTGTCACATACGCGGTACTCGAATTCGTATGATTGTAATTATAAATACAAGTATTTGCACTGGCAGATGAATACTGTGGATATTGAGTGGTATAATAAGAATTGTATGATGTTGGTGGAATTTCTGGATATTGTTGTAAGGAATAAGATGGAGAATTTCTTTCTTGTGAATCTGTAATTTATGTTATAAAAGAACAATATATATTTCGTATTACATCTTTTATATTATTGCACTTATTTCAAAAACATGTATACCTCTATGAGATTTCACAGATCCAGGAGAAATGTCTTCTAACAGTTGTGGAGGATTTTTACTAAATTCTCTAATGATAGCTTGAACAACACGACCAAGATCACTGTGCACTGTAAACTGATATGTAAAACCAAATGATCTTTATGATTCTAAATAAATAAATTATAAATATAAAAGATGTTACATTAAGTAGTCCTGGTGCGCTTGTGATTTCACTATGTTCATTACACCAAGGATGATTTATGGGTGGAGAGACCCTGAGCACTGGTTTTTCCAACGGAAACTCCGGTGACAAAGAAACCATAATAGCCATTCTCCTTTCCCTAGCATTGAATTGTACTTGATATTCCACATCTTCTCTTAATTCTACTACACTATAACACATAATAGTTTAATAATTTTTTAAATATGAAAAAATTATATAATATCAAAATTGATTGAACAATATAGAAAATTAATATATAAAATATTTATTTTTAGGTCAAAAGAGAAACCCTAAAAATTAAATTAGATATATATCATAATGATGACAGTTTCTTATATGATGGACGCGTAGAATGTAAATGAAGATTTTGATTTATGTTAAATAATCCATATAATAAATTTTTTCTTTATCTTTCAAATAAAAATTATAAAATGTTGCATCTTATGTTTGTATAAAAAAATATACAAAAATAAATAAATAGATTAATGCAAATAAGGTTAAAGAAGAGAGGTTACAATCGAAAATTTACTTACTTGTCGTTAAAAATTTTCAGGGTGTCGATTTGCCGTTTTCTCTTGACTGCGACATTTTCATTTTCGCCACGGAATATTCGCGATATCATTTAAGAGGGTTAAATCTAGATAAAACATTCGTTTTATCCTTCGACTTCCCTGTCAAATTAACCATCCAACAGCAGAACAGCTGTTTTGGCCTTCGTCACGCTTCACAGGAGAAATCGAGATCTATGTAATATTAGCAGTATTTTTTTATATTATATACTATCATTAAAAAATTTTAATTATATTGAATATGAATCATTTTGAACACAGTAACTTTCATACACATTAATTCAAGCGATCAATATAATTGACTTATATTTCAATAAAGACACAATGATAATTTCTGTTTCATTACTTAGGCCAAGGTCAATAAATTTCTTTGTTAACCAAAAACAAAAATAAAAAAATGAAAAAATTATTTTTATAGTAATTATTACGAAAATAACTTTTGAAAGATTCAAAATAAACAAATAGAATTTTAATGATTATATTATTGTTTTATAATCACTTATATGTAATCATCTTATTAATAATTGTTTCTTGATTATATAAATAATTTTCTTTTACTTTATTTAAAATATTAATACTATATGTAATATTCAATATTATATGTAAATATATTAATTTATATATATATAAAATAATTTTTAATTTATTTATTATATAGATATATTCTTATTCTTATATTTCTTTATTGAATTATTTTAAAATTAAAATCAATTTTCTATTCAATAAAATAGAAATTATATAGTATTCTTTACATAATTGTCAAATTTTAGATCAACAAAAAAAGCAATATCATTATTATTTATATATCATAGACCAACTTAAATTGAGAATATCAATTTCAATTAAAAATTACCAGATATCAGAAATACATATATACATAACTTGGAAGAATTTGCAATTTTAATTTTTAATAATATTTAATTAATAACACCATTTTTTTGAAAAATGTTCAAGTTCTTTACCATATTATTATCGACAATAAACGAAACTTTTTGATCTGGCGTCATTGCTTCGAAAACCTTATCTATTGAATATTAGAAATATTTTTTTAAAAACAGTTATGAGATGACATTAATCCTCAATTCTATTATCTTATCTTAGTTTTGAAAATGTTTTTAAAATTCAACAGATGGCACAAATGGTTAATTCTTACAATATCTCCATTCTTCTATTTTTTATTCTTTTCATCTATATTCATGTTTTATTTGTGGTGGTCTAGAAATGGTACTAATTGATTAGAATTTTTATTTTATTTTTGTCCTATTATTTGCTTTCCTCTATTTGATCTGTAAAATTATGCGCTCAAAAGAGAACTCCAATATTTAATTTTTTTTAATTTTTTTTTTAACTTCCTTTAACTTTTTTTTTTATCTAATCTATTAATTAAAAATTTTGATAGAATTTATTGTATTCAATTTTTATATGTCAAAAATATAGGGCATAAATAGGGTAATATATTCTTAAGACATTTTTAGAAGCCAATAAAAGCTTGTATATAAAAATGTTGCTAAGTCTTATTTATTAAATTATAAGGAATTTACATTAGATGAAATGAGATGAAAATAAACTGTGATATATCAAAAACAGAGCAGTATCACTCTATTTTCATTTTGTTTCATTTAATGCAAATTTAATATATATATAATTATAATGTATATAAATTTGTATCTTCATATATTATATTTTTTTATCTTTTTTAAAGTTGCTGATTCTTAAAAAATTAAATATGCAAAAAATAAGTATAAAACAATATTTTTCATAAATAAAATAAAAATTTTTTACCAAAATTTCGATCTTTATAAAATTTATTTATAAAAACTTACTTATCATTTACTTATCATTTTATATTTATTTATTGTAACTATTTTTTTGGATTTTGAATTGTTTTTTAATTTTTCAATTAATTGTAAAGATATCTTATATTTTTATTATATACTTTATATACTTATCTTTTCAATAAAAACTTTCATTTTACTTAGTTTTGGACATTTTTTGATAATTTTTTTCTCAAAAATTTTTAATATATAATTTTTAATTCTAAAAAATTCAGGAATATACAATATGGATCATCTAATTATATAAAATGATAATTAAATATTTTCTAAAATAATTTTTATACAATAAAAAAATAATTTTTAGTGATATTTTTAACAATTATGTTAAAATATATATATATATAAATA